AGTTTCTTTATACATGTTGAATCTCAAGTTAAAAACAGCTCAGACTGAAGTGGAGCTACTCACCAAAATGAAAAGAACCAATACTAGTTACAGTTTGTCTTCTTTTATTTATTTATTTGTTTTTGTTTTTGTCCTCCAACCATTATACTGAAAAGCAGCTCTCTACACCTGTTTGTAACTTTGTCTCCAGCTTTCCTACATCCAAAGATGAGCCTTTAGTGTCAACAATTCTATTCAAATCAGGACATTATTCGTGTTTCATTTCATAATGAATCAAGAGAGCTCATCTGAAATATTTAAACTGAGATGTTTTTCTGGCAATAAAATAATCTGTTTTTGATCAATTTTACATATTTTCCTAAATTATATAAAAGTTTGAGTTGCCAAAATAGCTGATGATCAACTACAGTAATCACAGTTTTCAAGGCCAATTTGGATGCACAGTTTTGTAAAGTTCTTACCTGTTTAGCTTTTCTCTAACATCGTTCCTCTGGTCCTCTACCAGAGGTCTGGGTGCTTGAGAGGTTCTATGCACTCTTCTGGACAGAGATCTCTGAGGGTGCTCTTGTTGGAGCCACTCTTTCATGTTGGGGGTCACAGCATCGAGTGCCCCAAGTTGGCTCACCTTGACTATCCAAACTTTGTCTGTTTTCTCTTTCCGCACTTGTTCTTTCCTCAAACTTCTTCTTAATACAGTCATAGGGATCAATACATCTATCACCACTGCCTTCTTCTGTGGTTTGTTGACCACCTCATTGTCCAGTTAGTTAGCCAACACTTGTCTGTCACTCAAAGTCTAGAGGTCCCATAATATTTTAGCCTTGTCTATGCGCTGTCTTTCAGTCTATCCCTCCGTCACCACTGGTAGTATTTTCTATCTATGATGGTTCCTATATGCATTTATGGGCAAATTGGAAATACCATCATATGTTCATTATAACATGATTACAGTAAGGAAAAAACCTTTTGCAATTTCTTCAAAATAACTCCAGGTTGCAGTGCTGTTTCTCAAATGTTAAGAGAATACATTGTTTGTTCATTTTGTTGTAACTATGCATGCACTTAAAACTTACAGCTTGATAGCAAAAACAGTTAGGCTACAAAATCGTTAACTATGTTTGTCCCCTGGTTGCAAATTACAGTTCTCATAATGTGAGCTGGACTTAAAACAGGCACCAGCTTAGGTGGCAGACGATGCTATAATTGGAAAACAAAAGCCTTAAGCTGTAAAATAAGCAGCAGACCTTCCTTCCTCTTTAGAAAAGTCATGTTTCCCTTTAGTAGCTTATTATGCCTCTTGTGCATCTTTATCACCCACTGCCATAACATGAAGGTATCAAGTAACTCATCATGTGTGTATTCATCTGTTAGCAAAAAAACCTGTTGCGATCCAGAATTTATTGAATCCATCTGAGTGATTTGTTGTACTTCTACAGCCGATTGAATATTTGGAGTCAACCCAATTCAAGATGACCTCCACAGCTAGTTGGCCATATAACACACATACCATAGCTATGACTGTCAGTTTTACAAATATTGAGTTGAAATTTATGGTGTTAATACTTGAATTAAAGTTCTAATAATAATAATAATTTATGGTGTTAATACATGGATTAAAGTTCTAATGATAATAATAATTTATGGTGTTAATACATGAATTAAAGGTCTAATAATAATAATAATTTATGGTGTTAATACATGAATTAAAGGTCTAATAATAATAATAATTTATGGTGTTAATACATGGATTAAAGTTCTAATGATAATAATAATTTATGGTGTTAATACATGGATTAAAGTTCTAATAATAATAATAATTTATGGTGTTAATACATGGATTAAAGTTTTAATGATAATAATAATTTATGGTGTTAATACATGGATTAAAGGTCTAATAATAATAATAATAATTTATGGTGTTAATACATG